AAAAAAAAAAAAAAAAAAGACAAAATCATCCCATTTGCAACAACATGGATGGACGTTGAGGATACTATGTTAAGCGAAATAAGCCAGACAGAGAAAGACAAACACCGTATGATTTCACTCATATGCCGAAGATAAACAAACACAGGGATCAAGAAAACAGATTAGTGGTTACCAGAGGGGAAGGGGTGGGGGGTTGGGCGAAAGGGGTAACGGGGCACATATGTATGGTGATGGATAAAAATTAGACTACTGGTGGTGAGCACAATGCAGTCTATACAGAAACTGATAAATAATAATGTCCACCCAAAATTACACAATGTTATAAACCATTATGACCTCAATAAAATAATCTTTTAAAAAGTTCCCTATTTCACACTTACCCAAAATAAAAACTGTAGAGCCCAACTGCTATATTTGTCAATAACCTCTTCAATTTTGATTTAAAAAAACTTCATAAAGGGAAAGACAGAAGAAAATCAACTGAGAAAATAAAAGTTACTTTTCTCTGAAGTGACCTTAAAATCCATTTTATCACAACAAAAGTATTAGTAGGCAAGGAACTGAAAATCTAATGGAAATATGAGATAAACACATAAAAGACAGGACAGGCATATACAGTAACAGTGATATATAGTTAAATATATTTTTCTGAATTTTGAAGATAAGATGATAATGAGAGGAACTTACTTTTACCATAATCTGAAAACCTTGGTCCTATGGCCTTTAAAACTTGGTTTTCATATGACTGGGAACCTAATTTTATAGAATTATGTATATATATATATTTTTTAATCAAAACCTAGAAATAGAACACAAATTCAGCCCATCTGTTAGTAAATGTAAATGTCTAAATAAAAGGAGAAGGCAAGAAAAATTTGTGAAACTATTTTTTTGTGTGTATGTGTGTGAGGAAGATCAGCCCTGAGCTAACATCCATGCTAATCCTCCTCTTTTTGCTGAGGAAGACCGGCTCTGAGCTAACATCTATCGCCAATCCTCCTCCTTTTTTTTCCCCAAAGCCCCAGTAGCTAGTTGTTATGTCGTAGTTGCACATCCTTCTAGTTGCTGTATGTGGGACGCGGCCTCAGCATGGCCAGAGAAGAGGTGCGTCGGCGTGCGCCCAGGATCCCAACCCGGGCTGCCAATAGCGGAGCGCGTGCACTTAACCGCTAAGCCACAGGGCCGGCCCTGTGAAACTATTTATGAAAGCAATGCCACAGGATTTCCAGCCAAGTTACAAAAAGGAGAAGGAAAAAAAACTATGAATTTCAAGCGAGATCAACCGGAGCTTATGTAAATAAAATGTTACAGTTAGAAAAGGATCATAAAATAAAACAGAAGCTCTATTGTTAAGGAAGCTTATTTGTTAATTTGGGCTAATCTTTGTATCTCTATCAAAGTCAGTATGTAAAAGCAAACTAAGGAAATACAACCTTATGATTTATAGTCAGATCTAAAACTTAATCTAATGAAGATTAAAATTTTATATAAAACTAAAAACACAAAACAAATGGTCAATAGTGGATGAAAGAAGCATAATTAGGACACTAGCTAAGAGAATATAACTTTTTCCTCTCTTATAGCCACA